GTCATGTTCGTACAAGGGAAGCTTCTTGTTCATGGAACCGAAATCGAGAAAGTGAGATTTACGAATAAATGCGACCAAGATAGATTCCGCTTGGCTGGAGGCGCTGGGCCATGGGAAGGGAGAGTTGAATTTCTTGTAAATGACACCTGGTGGCCGATGTGTCTTCCTTACGGCAGATCGTTTACCACAGAGGGGAGGATCATTTGCCTGCAACTTGATCTTTACTATCAATATTATAGACGATATTACCGTCCAGACCAAATTAATGGCTTTGTGCACAACATTATCTGCAATGGAAACATAGACAACGATATTTTGAACTGCAGTGCTAACAATTGGAGATACGAACCTACCTGTCGGGGGTATGTTGTGTTTCTTACTTGTCAAAGGCCGAACTGGGCAGGGCTTCACCTGTCAATGACAAAACATCAACACGGGATACAACACTTTGATATCTTAGATGCTGGGTTGGCATATCGCAGTGACATCCACATTCCAGGTGCAGCTTTAAAAATTGATCTGAACCGTCATAATCTAAGCAACATCTTCATCAATAACTCTTTGGGAACTGGCGTACAAGTAGTATACCAGGATTTACTTCACGAACAGACACTTATTCCTTATTCAACCATATCCAACACCAAATCACATGGACTTCTCTCGCGGTCTCCTTCGCTCAAACTTACTGACGTAAATATAACTCGGAGTGAGGGAAACGGTTTCCTTTTCACGGGCACCTGGGATGGAATAAATACCCTTGCCGCTGAGATGGCCAGCCCAGATATGCATAAGACCTTTCGCGTCTGCTCTGAGAACAAAACCTTTGTATTGGCCGATGGAGTCTATTACTTCACCTTAGAGACGCTAGAGTATACCGCTCAACTGAGGTGTCAACATGTGATGGAGACTGAACCTGGATATAAACTGGTTGTACAGGTTCTGTATTACTCACCCTTAAATCGATATCGTCACCTCTTGCATGTATACGATGGTGTTAATGCATCCGCTGGTTCGCCATGGAAATTGGAGACCTTATCGTGGAGAGACCATCCTACCTTCAATTCCACCAAGCCGTCCATATTGTTTGACCTCTCCATAAGCTACTACAGGAGTCTTGCTTTCAACTTCTTGGTATATGCAGTGAAAGGTTTGAAAAAGTTATAAACGTTTTTCGAGTTTTGTGTTTGTAGTGTTCTCGGGAAACGTTCAGGCTTTGTGATGGCACCGCTGATCTTTGAATTGAACGAAGTGAAGTTCTTTTGCGTTGTTAGGCAAGGCACTTAACGATTCCTCTCTCTCCAAAAAAATGTAAAGCTGGGTTTGCAACTAACAGAATGTTAAGCAGGATGGGGGGGGGAGGGTAATCTGTCGGATTTATAGCCCCACCCAGGGGAAGTGAAAGCAAGAATCATCTCTCTTCAAGGTGCGGGTAGCAGTTGGGCTTTGGCATACGCAAATGTGGGTTATTCATTGTAAATGTAGATTTGATCTTTCGTCCAAATTCAAAAGAGTACAAAAAAAAAAAGAAAAAAAAGAAAAGTCCATAGTGCCAGTAATCCTTTTATCATTTCTTTATAGCTAGCAAAAAATTGCAATACATCTCAGGAGACATCGGCATATCTCGAGTCAAGATTACTAGGAGTCATAAGGGAAATATGCTCATTGAAGGTGACTTGCTGACGTCCTTTCGCATGGTTGATCCAGCGATCAGAAATTCTAGGGATTTTGGGATAAAACTTACCGCCAGACGTATCCAACTCATTGAAATCGCTTCAACAAACCTTCAAAACAACAATCAAGGAATAGTTATGAATCTTATGAACAGTCTGTATGCAGAATCCAGGATTGAGAAAGTTGTTATTAATGGATCATTACGTCAAGGAATTACTATACATTCAGGATATCGGGGCTTGGTGAAAATTGCATGGTCACATGTGACAAACAGTGGTGATCGAGGCCTCGATATTCAGTATGGGCATCGTTATCTTAATCTATTCGTCACTGAGAGCACGTTTGCTTGGAACAGAAAAGGAGCCGTTGACTCCACGAGTTACCATTATTACGGTGTACATTTGAACGTTCGGTTCCAATCAAACAACTTCTTCCACAATCTTGGTCCTACTGTCGATATCTCCGCAATATCTTACCGCTCTTCGTGGGTATACCTGAATAATACTTTCATCAACAATCGTGGATCCGCTGTCATAGCATTTAGAGGAACAGTTTACCGCTTAAGAAGGCCAACTGTTTCCTTAAAGGGCAACCTCTTTATGACCAATCAGTGCCCAGATAAGGCAGTGATTGCCATTCAAAGGGAGGTTAATAGTTTCATTATCGAAGATAACCGCTTTCAGTCCAATCTAGGTCGCTGTGTGCTTCTCGAACGTACAGCTAATTATGTTCCGTTATACATAACAAATAACGTATACCATGAGAATAACTGCCAAGACAAAAGCTTGATAGAAGCTCTTCGCGTGGACGCGATTACCAAGTTCACCAATAACACCTTCAGTTAAAACAGAGCAGGAAATGTCGTCTTCCTTCAAGTAGTACACAACATTCATTCCTGCCTGGAACGTACGGAGTTAACCTTCTACAACAACACCTTGTCCAACAACATACCCCATACATTTCTGCCATCTTCAAACAATGAAGATTCATGCGCTGTAACTGTTTCTGGTATTTTGTATTACAAAGAGACAAATATTCGCCACAATAAATTTAACAACTCAAAATACCTCAGAGAGTTGTGAATCAAGGTTCCTGCTATTACTCCGTATGACGTTGTCAATGTGACGCATAACTGGTGGAATACAGTGGTTGGAGAGAGAGTGCGTGACAGAATACTGGACTTTGATGACAACTATGACTATGCCATAGCAGACGATTGGCCTTTTCTGCTTAGCAGTGATAATCCAAACTCAACCATCCTCGAGCCGCATGACTTCAAACAACGTGGACAAATTCTTTCAGGACGACTATTTGAGTCGATAGCACTAGAGGAGGCACGCAGTACTTACTACATAATATCAGATTTGACTGTTCTCCAGAATGTCACGTTAACCATAGAGGCAGGCGTGACGGTGAAGATGAGACCAGGAGTAAGCATACTTGTTGTTGGGTCACTCCAGGTATTAGGAACGCCAACCAAACCAATCAAATTTACAGTTGCAGAGCCAGAAGGGGTAAATGAAAATTCACGGCTATTGGTTCGTCTTGTAGATGGTGCTTTCCCGTGGGAAGGTAGAGCTGAAGTGTTTCACAATGATTCCTGGATGCCGATATCTGCTCCTAGTAAAACGTTCATGAGAAACATCAGTGAGGTAGTATGTAGACAGCTCGGATACAACCCGCCGAAAATTGCCCCTAAAACGTCAGAGAGACTTACGCGCGATATTAATCGTTCGATGTCGATGATATTCCGTTGCTCTGGTAACGAAACATCTCTTCAAGACTGTGGTAAAATGCTTTCAGTGTTCAACATAAGCAGTGACTTAGCGGTCGGGAATTGTGAGGGATTGCCGTGGGGAAATTTGCGCTTCATCTCCTCCAGGAATACGAACGCCTCTGAACCTCGATCCATATTGCAGCATGTAGAATTTTCACACGGGGGAAATCACCATGGCATGATGGTTCCTCCTGTAGAAGCTGTGTTGACTGATAGCCCCAACCTCCATTCCATTAAAATAATAAACTGTACTTCTGGCGGCTTGCGAATCCACCTTCCAAGAACTAACATACACGTCAATCACAGCACATTTGTTAACACAGGAGAGGTTGGTGTAAGCTTCTCACAAACACGACACAGTATTTTGGTAGAGAGCTCTGAATCATCGATGTCAAACAAACGAGGCGTTGCCTTTGAAGAAGCAAGTGCAGAAAATGTCCCTCAAGTCCACTATGGCCGAGTCTTTCTCTGTAGTCTCGATAAAACTGTACCTTTATGGAATCCGTTGCTTCTCTATTTTGATATTCCAAGGCTAAAGACAACAACGGCATCAATGGCTTGCCAAAAAATACTGACTTCACCAAAAGGCCTAGGAACCAAGTTGACTATATTGTTCTATAGTGGTAGACAGCGGATTTTTGTCTATGATTCCACAACGACTTCAAATTTAATTGTGCATAAGTCGAACCAGGAGATTGCCAGTCTTGTTCATAAAGAGCTGTTTATACCACGCAGCGAAATTTTGATTCAGTGGAGTGGTGATGTGAATTCTAAGGTAGCTGTTCAAGTGGAAGGCTTTGATATTGTAGGTGAGTCGCTTTTGGTAGCCAATGATACCCAAACCTACCTCACAGTGCAGTTTCACTAATCCCCTGTAAGATGGAACCTGAGAAGTTTTCATTTCTTTCGCAGACGAAATAATAGAAGTTCCTCTACCTTAAAGATACAAATACCTCTTCCAGCCTTTAATTTTTTAAGGTTTGTGTTAATAAGTTCTCTTCTTTTTTCAGATGCTCCTTGTACGTACGAACTGGATTTGTGCGGCTGGCAGACTTTCTCCAACATGTCAATTAAGGGACGTAACGTGACGACAAAATGGACAATTGTTAGCTACAATTGGTGGTACCACACCTCAACTGCTGATTATTCCTATTTCTCTTTGAACGGTAAGGAAAAAATACGAAAAAAGGAGTAGATAATTTTCCAGTCTATATCGGCTCATTGGCCGAAAAAAGTCTGAAATTCTTGAAACCGTTATATCGATAAAACAAGTCAATTTTGTTTGCCTTAAAAAGCAGAAACTCAGGCTAAGAGTGGAATTTTTGTTTCAACATGAAAGTAAGATACACGGCATGCATTGGCTGTTGAACTCAAGGAGTGAGAAATAGAATTAATCTCTCAGAAACCATAGTCCTTGCACAAACTTATTTCCAATGCAAATAAGCACTGTTTAGGTTTTGTACTTTTGCTTTGCTTTGCTTTGGTTTTGTTCCGAAAATTTTTCAGTGAAACGAACAGACCTCCCTCTTATTTTAGGAAAGCGATTGTTTGTTGGTAGTTGGGTGTCAGGGAGCACTCGAGCAGCCATTATCAGTCCTACAATTACCAAGCAGTCCAAGGTCTGTTCTATCGTGTTTTTCTACTTCCTGAGGAAATTTCAAGGGGAAGTTAGATTATCGCTCTTCATACAGACAGGTACATTTTGTTTTCTTCTTTGAACGAATCTGTTGCATGATCATTTCACAACAAGTATATTTGTAATGTTGTGAGGTCAGAGTGAAAAACAAAACCTAGCTCGTTAGTGATGAAGCTGTTCTATCGGTCATACTGCTTCAGTTTCGCTCGTTCCTTCTTGAACTTTTCTTTGTTTGTTTATTGCTCAGTTTGTCGCTCTTTGGTCAGTTTTCCTCACTGTAACTATTTATTTGATTATTGATTTTAATTCATTTCAAACTATTGTCATAGGAACATATCCTACCTTCAAACAGAAGTTATTATGGGAAGCAAGTGATCTGTACGTAATGAGTTGGAGGAAAATTGCTTTAGACCTTCCTAGTGGTATTGACGAGTACAGACTTTTATTCGAGGGGGAATGTAATATCTCGTCACCTTACTACTACAGAAACTACGTGATGATGGACAACGTAGAACTACGGAGCTGCTCGCACGACAAAGGTAACCCGCTTTCCTGTGAGAGCAATATCCGCTTCAGAGAAAATATAGATCAGGGATAACTCTGATTTGATTTACTTCTCATGGTCACCCGTAGAGAAATTTGTGTCACCCTCTAAACAAATCAAGCGCAAAACTGAAAGCAATAAGTACTGGGTCACTTACGTTTCCCGCGTTGCAGACGGTTTGTTCGTTTTTATTTTAAGTTTTCATTGATTCTAAATCTTCTGAACGGCAAAAAAATCGTTGCTAAGCCGCTTTGCTGGATTTTCGTGTGTAGAGCCCCAGAAAATGAAACATCGTTGGCAGCTTAGGCGATTTCGCCCTCCCTAAATTCAGTCCTCGGTTTTTGAGGCTCTTGCTTGGGCTTAAGACCGCCTGCGTGCAGTCTTGAAACCTTGCAAACTCTAAATCTCCCTTTCTCCCGTTTATCCTCGCTTTCATCTTAGACTTAATGGCTCTTTTAATCCCAACAGGAGAGCACCGCATATATAACAGCTTTTTCATGAACAACAATCGTCAGGCAATAGAATACACCTCAGTTGCTGATGGAAGCGACAGACGACCTCCTTTTACCTTCGAACGATGTAAAATAACCCAAGCGCCTTCCTCTCATTCCAACGTACCCCAACAGAGTGCTGTCTCCTTAAAAATCCAGGAAAATAATTTCACGCTCGCCAATAACTTCATCTCTGGTAATCGCTTAGGCGGAATAAAAGCGCAATTAGGACAGAGTGATGGAACAAGTTTATACCGAGGCTTGATTTACGGCAACACGTTTACTAATAATGCGAATGGAACTATAATGGTCAGTGATGGGAATGAACTGAAACAAAGCAGGAGTTTCGTGTACATCGTTAACAACTTATTTGGTGGTAACACAGGCGAAAATAGCACTCTTAAACTTCGTGATATACAAAGCGAGGTCACTGACAATTTTTTCTATAACAACTCTGGACTGCACTCAATCGAATACAACTTTTCCAGTCCTATGCCTGAAGAACAGACATGCGCGCGAAACACATTGTACTTGAACAAAGGCCTTGGAAAAAATCATGTTGCAACGATCTCATCGAATGGTCCAATGAAATACCAAAGGAATAGTTTAAAGAATCCGGCAAATCTTTACGAGTTACGCTCAACAAGAAAAGCAGTTACTGATCCAATTAATGCAAAACTGAACTGGTGGGGATTTGGCACAGATTCTTCGGTTGATTTGCGAATTTACGAGAAAAGAGATGATTACAGACTAGCAACTGTGGAATATAAACCTTTTATGAAGTTTCCACCAAAAAAGATTTTATCCAGTAAGTACAGCACTTTCAAAAACTTCTGATCTTACTCCTGAAGAATTACTCATATCAAAGTTATTTGTACAATTATTTTGTAGTTGGTTGTCCAGCTGACTGGCTAAGCTTGGGCTCAGCTTGTTATGCTCTAAGAAGAGGAAGTAGGACGCTACAGGAAGCTGAGGAATACTGTCAGGTATGTCACGAACAGTCACGCGTCACGATTGTTATGTGACATTTATTCACGAGTTTTGTTTTGTTTGTACAGAAGGTATATGATTTCATCTTGATTTTCCGGTTTTTATATTATGATCAAATTACTTGTATTTATTTCACGACACGAGTTATTTAGGACAGATGTTTCGGTAGATCAATAAACGAATACACTAAATTTACGACCGTAGTTACGAGTTCATAAAAGGCAACAATGTCATTAAGACAGTGGTCATAAGCAACTTGCCGTCAGTAAGCAAACTTCTCACGGCATTGCAAAACAGGATCAAAATCTCTGTTCTTACTTTTCAATCTGCGGAGGACTAGCTCTTAGAAAACAAACTACGTGAAGAAAACCAATGAAACTAACTTCCATAACGACCCAATACTCCTCTATTCTCTCTGACGAAAGGCCAACGCTCAAACATCAGCTTTAAAAACTCTTTATCATATTGTACTTTATATACTCATTTAACAAAATCGAATTATCCCGCAATACCCTTCCACCGATGCGGCACTACACTGTCTTTAAAAGTCTTTAAAAAAAGGTTGACTCATCTCTAACTTTCTGCAGGCTCGTCTGGATCAAATTTTTGGCTACTTCTCGGTTTGGACATGGTGAAAAATGTAGCCTTACATTTTCGCGTTCGTCGATAGCACTCCTTGTCAATCTTCTTTGTCCTCGACCATCTTCCCTCGTATTTCTTCTATTATTTCCTTTCGGGCATTATTTTAGTGTCTTAACAAAATTATATTTTTCTGGTTCCTTCACTTTAAAAATAAATTTGAACGATACAGAAGAGGGCTCAAGAAATCTTGGCATAACTCTTCTAGAACGCGGCTTGTGTCAACTCTTAGGGGTCTTGAGTTTCTAGAGAACCAGCACTGAAGCGCATTGATAACGGTTACTGCTACTCACTCCTCCTGAAACACCCCAAACACCCACACAAACACACCCACACTCACATTTCGTCACTTCCCTTTAGAGCCCATATTTGTAGCCTACTAATGATTTCCGCTTTCAAGAACCTTCAACCCTATAAAATGAGAAACACGCCTTATACCATGCTGTCCTAAATTCAATTTTCCCATTTATATTAGTTCATTTTGATTTTTTAGCATTATGGAGGACATGTGGCATCCACTTCTTTACCTGACGATATGGAATTTATCAACATGGCGACGCAGGCAAAGAGACCAGATGGGAAACCTCCTGTACCAATTTGGGTCGCAACCCACGTCAATCCGGTAGGTTTTTAAGTTACCCATAAAAACAGCCAAAAAATTCATCTTATAACATGTGAACGTATTCGCTTCTTTAATTCGGTAATACAAAAGCTTTCCTCAGCCAACGCTCTCTTCACTCTTTGAGTTTGTCTATTGCTACCAAGATATTTTCTGTGTAATTTAGAATGATGCCTCTCCTAAAAAATATTTACCAGACCCACTTATTTTTTCGTCTCCAGGAGGCAAAGAATAGCAGTGTACAGAAGAGGCAGCAGTGTACCGTCAGGACACACGACAGAATTCAGAAAGTTGTGTCCTGTGACAGTCTTTATCCTTTTGTCTGCACCAAAACGGCCGGTATGTCGACTTTTCCCCCAGCATTTGATTAAGATTGTTGCCAGCGAGAGTTGGCTGGGAAAAATTTGATCACCAAACGACAATTTCAACGTTTGGCGCAGCAGTTAAATGCTTTGCTGCACACACCTTATCAAGGAACTCGCGAGGAGCTATCACATTGACCCTGTTCTGTTCTTCCTCGAAAGTACAACCTCACTGGCCTTTGTAAAAACTACTGAGCCTGACCTCATAAAAGTTTTCACTCTATTTTGCTTTATAATTCTCTAACTTGCCATAAATTTGATCTCTTATTCAGTTATCCGATGTCCAAACGGCTGTTTCCACAAAGGTGACTGTGTCGTTGCTACCTGTTTCTGCTACCGAGGGTGGACAGGACAAGACTGTTCACAGTATCACTGTAATGACGTGCACAACTGTTCAGGCAACGGAGAATGTTTGGGACCAAACATTTGCAAGTGTAAACCAGGATTTCTTGTACGTCTTATTAATTCGTTTTTAAAAATCGCAATGGATTAACTTGTGGTCATTTGTATTTCTTACACTAAACCACAGCGGGGATTAAAATGGAAAATGTATTCACCTGATAACGAGTTTTTCGTTGAGACAACCAAACAAAGTACCTCGTTCTCTCATAGGGTCGAGCCTGTTCCTACTCCTACTGCGCCAGGTTTCAGCGATGTTCGACTTGCTCCCAAGACCCTGCGTGTGGATGGTGCGACAGCGCACAGCAGTGCATGCCGGGAACTGCTTTAGGACCATATGCTCAGCAGTGTCCAGACTGGTTCTGGTACACCTGTTATACTGTTGGCAGTGTCAACCACTGCTCGAGCAAAATACAGGTATAACTAGTTCGAAAGATATGCATATTTACCATTACGCCACCACGGAAAATAGTGGCACAACTCGTTTCTAAACATTTGGCGCTGAAAAAAAAATCAGTTTTTGGGAATTCATGTTAGCAACCCTAAAAGGATACCAGATTTGCATGATATACTTCAACAGTGTTTGTCTCTGGTCCCTCGAAGACCAAATACAAAATCCAAATCCAAATGTCTGGTGTTTTGACAGCCAATTTACCTGCTTGATTTGTAAGTCATAACGTTACCGTTTTGAAGAGAAATTCCCCCATCAGAAGTAACTTTGCTCATTCGGATTTCTTCTTAAAGAGAGTAGGCTGTATCGCCAGACAGTGCAACGCTACTCAAGAGACAACTAGTTCAGTGTCCTGCCAGAAGTGCAAAGATCTCGAAAAGTGCTACAACTATGTGGTAAGCTGCTATAACACCGTTGTAGTTTAGTTTACGTTGTTATTTATTTAATGTTTTGCAATGTCATCAAGATCAATTCTTTGACAAGGGTCTTACCTAATAGGCGATCAGGCAGTCAGTCTCCCTTACCTCCGCCTAAGTGGTAGATCGAGGAAAAAATGATTTCTCAATAATTCTATCTGTCCCGATCATATTCTACTCTCTTTGATAGAGCGAGGGACATCCATGTTTACTCCCGAATCTTTTCACCTTCCATTCTCTTTCTCACTCAGCCACTCTACAAATGCCGTTTTTGCGGGCCAGCAAGATTTAATCCATTCGAATGCATAGTCATTCTTCCCTTAAGACGATGCGTTAATGGGCATATGCTGTAGTGGGTCTTGATACACTACAGTTAGAAGCTGCAGCCTGATATGTGGTTTCTACTGAAGTTTAAAAATAAGATTAAATCGACCCAGAAGCATATAACCTAGAAGCAATTACGTATTTATGGGCAAGAAAACTCGATCTCATTCTATTTCCTTAGACAGAGTTGTATATCTCCAATGATTATTGAATGCAAAAATTTTCATCGCGATACTAATGCGTTGTACAATAGCAGTTTTCAGATTGTAAATACGACCAAATGGGGATTTCTGTAACAAACAAACAAACAACCAAGACAGTTTAGACAGCCGACCATACTTAAAACTTACGGTTCTAAAGAAGATTCTAAACGTCGTAAAGCCTTGATTGGCTTGAACGATCTCTGAAATTTCTCTATCAGTCCCTTTTCAGATAAATCAGTTACCATAATTTATTCATTGCTTCATGAAAAAAGCTTTGACGTAAAAAATTTAGTTCATGCAGGCTTTCCACTTTCCTCCTCGTAAATGGCGGTGAGTTATAATTAAGAAAACACTGCTCGAACCTCAAACTTCAAACTTCAACTCCATATTTGGACCAAAATAACCCCCTTGCTTCTGATCGTCGGCTAACGAACCCTCACGTCAATTGATAAAAAAAATAATGGGGAATTTAAGCGCCTCTTCGTGATATGCTTTTCATCGATCAGATAAACATGCTGTTTCCATGTTCACAGGAAGAAGGCAAATGTAGGTCATGGAATGAAACCCGTTGTCCCCATGGCTTAGTCAAAGTAGATTACACTGATCCAAAGCGAATCAACAACACTGTGTTACGAAGCAATGTTAAGGTAATTGATCCCAACACCACAATCATCTACAGCTGTCCCGTCCTCCTACCTGGTCGTACCGATGTTACATCGGTGCTCATTTTGCCTAGGAGTCTGGGTATCAAAGCCGGTGACTTGTTATCTAGCGCGCAGGCAGGCGGGGTGATGCATACAGTTAATGAGACTACATTTGCAGGTAAGAATTACATATATCAGTTACTACAGTAGCATCCTGTCTTTCCCTCTAGAATTTTGTTGCTTTCCACTGACTTTTTGTTAGTGTTCCAAAGATACCTCTTAGCGGAGAGCGCACGGCGAGGCTTATGTATACTGCTTGAAAAGGCAAAACTATCGCCTTCGCCGAAGCATACACCACAATTTTTCAGCGACCCAGCCTTGATCCTTTTAAGGCATGAAATATTTATGCGTCACGATAATTCTAAGAAAAAAGTTAAGACGATGGCCGAGGAATTATCGAAAAAAATTAATAAGTGTCCTTTCCTTGGTCTCATTGGTTCGCCCAGTAACTCAAACGTGATATTTAGAATTTGTCATCCATTCTTAAGACGTCTCTTGTCAATTAATAGGGCCTTTCACAATAATACTGGGTACACCTTCTCAGATTGAGGACGTGATTCAGTACGCGGATTTCACCCAAAAAGTTTCTCTTGTTGAGATAGTTGATGAAACAACTTTGGATGAAGAACCCAACATGGATAACTTACAAGGCCTTTTGAATGGGAGTATCACGCTGAACGGTTCAGCAGCTCTTCATGTTTTACCAAAAGGTGAAATTTTATCAATGATCTTTTGCTTCTTCTTGGGTCCGTTTGTTTGTCGATGTAATATTGTAAGAAAACGTTTTATCAAAAGCCACATTAAATCACGTTTCTTATCTTTCCTCGAAACTTAATTATAAATTTTTATTAAGGGATAAATAACTAAATCCGAAGGGGTGACCCTTCCCTCCTTCCGAATAAGGTGTCAATAAGATGCCAGTGTAGAGCACGTCCATAGAAGATCCTGCCTACTCCCTGCAAGCTCATTAATCCTTTTTATCTTGAACTTCATATTCAGAAACTACAGTATTCAAGTGCGTGGGGCATATTTACAAAGTAAATGAAGAGTTCATATCCTCTCAGTTTCTTGTGATCAACAAAAAAGATGCTTTTAATGTTAAGCCCGGTGATGTGGTAGTCTCTGAACAGAGTCATGGGTTCATCGAGAAGGTGGTTAGAGTCAGTCAGATTTCTGATATGACATTCGTAGAAACAGAGCTCGAACGGTGTACAGAGAATTCTACTTGGGGACGAAGGTAAGAAAAGCATCCTTTTGGAAGAACGTCTTTGAAAGAATAGCAATCAATTACCAAGTATAAACGATCTAACTCTACCTATGTTTTTAGAAAGAGAGGAACGGAAAGGTACATTTTTTCTTGTTTGCTTGCATATCTTTATTGAAAGCAGACAGGACAGTTTGTTAGTTTGTGTAACAAAAGCTAAGAAGTCTAATTAACAGTCCTTCTTTTCAGCGCCTCTCTACTCCGGCATTGTGTTAATTGGCCGCTAAGTGAACTTAGCGGCTTTGACGGTAGCCTTAGTGTTGTTTTCCTCACACCCGTAATCTTTCGAAACAAGGAACTGTTACCAAGTTGATTAACAAGCAAATTTTTCATTGACTCTTTTTCATGTTTTCGTATGCAGATTCAATCCCCGTATTCCCAACTCGCCGTCCGACAATGACGTGGTCTGTACGGGTGGTGACAACAGCTATGGTTTAATTATAACTGAACCAGACCCCAATCATCAACAGATGGCAGTGAATGATTCTGTCGTAGGAAGAACCAGTAATCCCATCCTTGCAAAGGTATAAATAATGTGATTGAATATTTCAATTTAGAAATACCTTATTACGAAGAACAATCTTCCTCCCTCATTGTCGCTGGGAATTGCCCCTCCAGCGGGTGTAAATTTTACGTCATAATGTAATGACGGAAATTCAGTGTTAAACTAAGAGAACATCATCAAGCCATTTGTCACATCTTATCAGTTGTTTTATGGGAAGTGTACTGATATCAAGAAAAACTTGACAGATCAGTTTTGTGAGATTGTCTATCAATATCTCCAGGTAGTCGAATCTCATTTGTCCGGAGATTTCATGCTGATAGAAGTCCTTCCTGTTCTGTCCGTTGTGAATGGTACCCCTGTTACCATGACATCACTTAACCAACTCCTTAAAGAACAGAGGAGACATAAAAGAGACATTGCAAGGAAGACGTTACAGTTCAGGAAGAGCCACCTAACAGAAGAGAAGTTAAGGGTACGTGATTTTAATAAAAGATATCCACTATGAGAAAGGAGATCTAGCAGGACCATCGTATTCTTTACTTTATCTACACTTACTTCCTGAACGGCAGACAGAGCACTATAAGTCCCTTTGGCAGACAGACATTCAGAAACAAACTTTCACTCGCACTCAGACAGACATGGCGAGGCAAATAGAGACACAGACCGAAAGCATTCAGATAACCAAACAGACAGACGAAAAGATCCTAACAAACAAAGAGCATGGATAGGCAATTAGACGCAGACAGACTGAGATAAATATAGTAAAAAAAAACAGGCAGAGAGACAAACGAGGGAGTACCTAGATTATTTTCGCGCTAGAGGACGAGACCAAGTTCTACGAAGTTGCTTTCAATTGGTTTCTAGCCTTCTTTTGCGTAAATTTGTTACCCCTTTGCTTGGAAATATAAGACTGAAGTTCAATAGAAGTTTTTTCTACATAGTTTGGACTTAAAGTACACCTAGACCCAAAAATATTTTTTCGCTTAACGAAATAAGCGTATTATTTGGAATATTTCTGAGCAAAAATTTTTTATTTGCTTAAATCTTCAATTTTCTGTGCCCAGTGAAAATATGGAAAATCGGCCGCCATCTTGGCTCACGATCTATTTTAAAGAGGAATGGTTCTAACGGGTAATGTGACGTCAAATCGAGAACACGAAAGTCTGCATTTCACACATTTTCACTTGTTTGGGAAGACTGTTGTCGATATTGTCCGAAATATGCCGACAAGGTGTGTTGTATGAGGAATGTATGAAGCGCGATACCCTCTTGCAAATTACGCACGTTGCTACATCCTTTTACAACACACTTAGTCGGCATATTTTCGGACAATATCGACTACAACCTTCCCAATAATTTGGATAAATCAACAAAGTTGAAATGGTAAATTAGCCACCGTAATGATTACAAAAGCTGACGTTTCGAGCGTTAGCCCTTCGTCGGAGCGAATAGAGGAATTGTGGGTTGTGTGTGCTTTTAAAGGCAGAAAATGGAGCTACGTTATTGGTGGGAGCTTGGCAACGACAAAAACATGAATAAATTAGTGGAATGAAAAGCGTTCGTTGATCCCTGTGGGATTTAGACTGCCGGTTTGAAAGATGAGCTTTTGTTCAAGATTTTTACGGCTTTCCGTGCCACCTAAGTGCAAGGAAAGACCGCAGATTGCCATGTGTTGCTTAGAATGATTAGGTAAATTAAAATGTCTAGCGACTGGTTTCGATGTGTCCTTGTCATTCCTTTCCACGTCTCGAAGGTGTTCTCGGAATCGGTCATCTAGTCTTCTGCCTGTTTCGCCGATGTATATCTTTTTGCAATAAGTGCAAGTTATGCAATAGATTACATTGGCGGAGGTGCACGTGAAGTGATCGGTGATCTTAATGGATCGTTTAGGTCCCGATATTTTATCAGTGTTGTGAATGAAAGGACACGTTTTGCATCGTGCACGAGCGCATTTAAAAGTGCCTGGTTGGTCATTAGTCTGAAAAGAACTTCTGACCAAAAAATTGCCTATGTTTTTGTCGCGTTTGAATGAAATGAGCGGAGGCTACGAAAAGATAGTACTTGTCTCTGGATCGTTTTGAAGTAATTTAAAGTTTTTAAGAATGATGGATTTAACTGAGTGGTTGTGAGGGTGAAACGTGAGAGTGAATGGAATGCGGTCGGAATCTTCCTTATGCGACGTTAGTAGTGCTGAATGTCGATCAATAAGTTGAGCGCGGTGGTAACCCGCTTGAACGACGGAAACAGGGTAACCACGTTTATCGAAGAACTGGCACATCGACTCTGATTTGGGGTGGAAATCAGAGTCATCACTACATAAACGACGAAGTCTTAGAAACTGAGAAAAAGGAATGGAATTCTTAATGTGAGATGGATGCGAAGACGAATATAACAAGTAATTATGCGAGTCTGTAGGTTTGTAATACACATTAGTGCATAAACCGTTACCTTCAATTGAAACTTTGACGTCTAAAAAGGATAAAGAATTGTCAGAAATTAGTTTTGATTGCCAGCAATCAAAACTCCGTCAAGAATACGATCAACCAACTCATAACAAAACAAGAATTGCCGGCCACAGCAAAAAATCTCATCATAACCACTCCTAGAACTTCTAGTATTTACTTTTTACTTAAAATTCACAAACCTAACAACCCGGGTCGGGCCATTGTCACTTATTGCAAAAAGATATACATCGGCGAAACAGGCAGAAGACTAGATGACCGATTCCGAGAACACCTTCGAGACGGGGAAAGGAATGACAAGGACACATCGAAACCAGTCGCTAGACATTTTAATTTACCTAATCATTCTAAGCAACACATGGCAATCTGCGGTCTTTCCTTGCACTTAGGTGGCACGGAAAGCCGTAAAAATCTTGAACAAAAGCTCATCTTTCAAACCGGCAGTCTAAATCCCACAGGGATCAACGAACGCTTTTCATTCCACTAATTTATTCATGTTTTTGTCGTTGCCAAGCTCCCACCAATAACGTAGCTCCATTTTCTGCCTTTAAAAGCACACACAACCCACAATTCCTCTATTCACTCCGACGAAGGGCTAACGCTCGAAACGTCAGCTTTTGTAATCATTACGGTGGCTAATTTACCATTTCAACTTTGTTGATATATCCAAATTATTTCGTTACTCCCACCGACGCAGCCCCAAACAGTTTCTTTCGAAACTATCAGCCTTTACAACCTTCCCAAACAAGTGAAAATGTGCGAAATGTAAACTTTCGTGTTCTCGATTTGACGTCACATTACCGGCTAGAACCTTTTCTCTTTAAACTCGGTCGTGAGCCAAGATGGCGGCCGATTTTCCTTATTTTGACTGGGCAAAGAAAATTGAAGATTTGAGCAAATAAAAAAATTTTTGCACAGAAATACTCCAAAAAGTACGCTTATTTCGTTAAGCGGAAAAAAGGTTTTGGGTTTAGGTGCAATTTAAGCCTCTTATTTCGTAAATTATTTTCACTTATATACTTGCTTCGAAAATTTGAAGTTCATTTCCGCATACAGCTTGGCAAAGACCTGTACATAAGTGTCAAACAGAAGTTCAGACTGTATGCAGACTTTATCGTCACTATGGGTGTGCTCACCGACCGAAATGAAGAAGGTCAGGTAATCATCAAAGACGGTTTGTTCGGTCTAGAAATGGTTGGAGAAGTGATCTACAATGTTGATTTGGAGATTGGAGGCGAATGGAGGTAACTGTTCTTCCAAAATGTAATTAAGGGGAGCGAAGGGCTATCAGGTGATTTTATGAGGCTCAATGAACCATAATACGAACAATCGTTTGGATGGGTTGAGTTATATAATTCTGGGATGAAAAAGGTAATGGCCTTGCTTTCACTTAATCAAAAAATTGATCAAACTATACACTCTTATTTCGACAAACGAACATATTAACAGTCAGTGAAACAAGTCACTGTTGACCCTTCTCCGTGTCCCGGTTTTAATGTCACTCATTTTAAATCTGTTACTTGGTGGGTTGGATAATTTGAAGTTACTGAATGTTTAACATCTTTTCTCCACGTTTCACCTTTCTTTTTAGTGGCATGATAAGGTTTCCTATTCTTCGTCCTGTTCAATTCGGACCAAATTTTTGCATTCCGGTAGGGGTCGTTTGTATCCCCTGTGCTTTCTTTCTCCAAGCAGACATCGAAGCCTCAATCAAAATCGCGGTGAGTTGCTCAAATCCAACCCAAAGCTAATGAGTGGAAAACTAACCATCAATTCTACTCAATACTCTGCATTACTTTGCCTTTAACTATTTTTCGTTAAACCTTTTCATTTAGCCGGACTGATGTGCTGTCGTCTAAAACAAATTCCTTTGTAAGACAAGTTAACGAAAGTTGTCCTTAACTTGATCAGTGGTACAAATATACTTATAGCTTATTCAGATTGATGCTATCATTTAGGGAAAGGTACATCTCCCTTTATCACTGGAAACTTCAGTTCAGTTGGGAATGGGAGGATCCTGTTCAAGGCGTGGAGGCTGTCAACGCATTCAACCTCGTGTGAGTATCAAACTCGACTGAACCATGTAAACAGCGATTTCAAAATAATGATAAAAAGACTGAGCGGACTCATATTAGGTTTACTTACCATCTACCTCAGCGAGATTGAAATGGGGTTTGAGATTTTCCCGTAAGGACCGAACGGTCACTGGATCATGTTTACGGTAGGTACTCTCGACCGACATTTCGGTCGATATATCGGTCGAGAGTCGGTCGATACTCGACCGATATGTCGTTCGACACTCGGTTGATAACCGGTCCACACTCGGTCGATAGTCGGTCGATAGTTGACCGAGATTCGTTCGAGACTTGGTCGATAGTCGAGAGTACCTACCGTAAACATGATCCCGGTCGGTTTTCAAGGCTTACATGGGAGGTAACAGAAAACTATCAAATTCAACCAGTAGTCTTCAATTTACATCCGGCAATGCGCGCGCTTACTTGCTCCTTCAGCCATTGATATTCACGGTCAAATTGACGAATAAAGTTAGTGACGCCTGGCATACATACATCACGTTTACCGCCAAGAACAAATTCATTTTCGGGAAAAATGATTCTCACAGCTGTAAATAGTACTTCACAACTTGACAAGAGTAAAATTCGTTCGATGATCAAGGGCAAATATAAAAGCATCGACCAAGTTCACCAAGTTCAAGAAGGCCTCTTGGTCAATAAAAATCAAACACTATGCGATACTTTGTTTAGGATATTTCCGTCTTCGCATTCGCTTTCGAATAAAATATATTTACTTATGAGAACTGCTGCACTAACTATGGAAAAATTTAATTGTTTGGTAATTGGTGTGACTGTAAGGAATCTCACAAATTTGAGACTCTTGTAACATTCTACTGAGTTTGTATGACAGATCTGTCGACGGTGTTGCCCACTAAGCGACTAAAGCGCTGGTGAAACATTAAAGGTTTTCAGTCGTTCCCGCATACTTTGGCGTGTTCACGCTGTTTACTTAGCAAACTTAGTGAAAACTACTTTTATATCATGTCACTGACAGTTTCCCTTAACGAGTTTTCGTTTTTTTATCAGCTTTCAGTTTCTTTATCAGCTTTAATATAGTTTTGGTTTTTTTCCCGTCCTTTTCGACACAATCTCCAATTAATGAAAACAATAAAAATATCGATACATAAAGTAGCCGTCGGTTAGAAGTCTTCATGAAAAAAATAAAAACAAACAAAAAAAAAACTAAGTTCACTTGGCGAAATACTCTGCAATAACGTGTGCATGACGGACTTCCTGTCCAATCGAACAGGCATGACGCGCATCATGTACTGTCCTATCACACTCTTCAATTACAAGCAAGACAGTGGATGTGATACAGTTACTGTGATACATGTGATAACAAATCACATTTAAGAGTTTTGTAATGGTTTTGATTAATCTCTGAAACGATAAAACAGAGAGAAAGTTGGTGGATCAGTGATTTCTTGAGTTAATGAGTCAGTGATATAATGACTCTGTGAGTCAGTCAATCTGTCAATTAAAGAGCCTGTTAGTCTGTCAGCCAGTCAGTCAGTCAGTCAGTCAAACAGTCAATAAACCTGCTAGATAGTCAGTCAAAAAGTTACTTCGTCTACGGACAGTAAGTCCGGCAGTGAGCTACTGAGGGAGTGATTCAGTGATTTAATAACTTATTCATTAGTCCACCCGTCTATCGCTTGATATCGAGTCAATGCGTTTGGTAGCAATTTAATGTGATTACGATCTAGTCAGCAAATAGGTCCGTGGGTAACTCAGTCGGCTATTCAATCAGTCAGTAAGTCAGTCAGTCCGTCAGTGAGTCAGTGAGGTGGTGCTTCCGACAGTAATTCATTTAAGTTTGTGACAGAGATCAGCCAGTGAGTCACTTGGTAACTCCCTCATGAAGTCAGACAGTCTGTCTTTCCTCCAATCAGTGGGTTATCATCTGTGATTCCGTGATGACATGCGTTAGTGGGCTAGTCTGGTTGGGAGTCAGTCGGTGAGTCTGGTGGCGATTGTTGTCTTAATTTTGTTTCATAGTTTAACTTCAAACGTCGCCTCGAAAGTGGCCCCATCAAAGCTGAAGCCGAAGTATTTGCAGAGACCATTTTCATCCCCAAAGTGACATTGAGAATCCCTTCTCTGCCGAGATTTTTAAGGAATCTGGTGAATAGATTTACCAATCGATGGATAAAATTATTTCCGAAGTATCGTAAGTAACATGTGATCTTTAATTTTGACATAAAAGGCATAACAAGGGAACTTTATGCGCATTTCTGAAATCCCTATCCACTTAGGATATGAAAGTGAGGTTTAGAATATCTTCAGTCGTTTCATGGACGTCAAGTATTTATGTACCACCTAGTATTGATAAAATATGAATTCTATTTTGCTCATTTTTACAATTCAACTTTTTACTTCTACAGCTGGTTACGGTCGAAATTCAAGAGGACGAGATTTCGCAATTCTTCGTCTTAGCGTCGAGCTTCCCGTAAGCCTCAATGCTCTCGTTAAACCCTGCAGCGAGAAGTGCAAGAACGAAAAACAAAGACCTCACGAACTCTCCCTCAGCTTCGGCTACTTGGAAATTGTTGGACGATTGACGATTAAGAAGCACAATTTGTTAGAGTTTCGCCGAACTTTGTCAGCTTCAGGAATAGTAAAGCGGTTCGTTATATAACATAAATCTTGACTTTAAGGATAAAAAGACACGTTTATCATAACATGCTACCCATAAATCAAACAAGTTAATTACCCTTTTCCGTAGGTGTACCAGACAATCACGGGAAGGTGGAGGGAGGAGGGGAGGGGGGCAAGGCTCGGCCTCGCTTCTCAGTTTTAGGTAGCTATTTAAGGAAAGCCGGGAGGTCAAGCATTCTATTGCGGGATGGCGAGAGTCCATTGACGACTTCCTGTTAAAAAACAACTGAAGATAGAATGAAGTTTCATGTTCAACTATTTGCATGTTGCATTTCGTTACCTATTGTAAAGTGAGTGTATTTTATTACTCAAATTAGTCACCGAATTCTTCCTAGATTATATGGTTGCGTTTAAGTCGCCATCTCTAGAAAGTGCTCAGTTTTTTAAGTTCACTGATGTTAATTAAACGTGTTTATAAAATTGATGTGTTTTCAGGGCATGTCTAACGTGTTTCACTTCAAAGGTAGGTCTTATTTTATAAATTATGCCAGTCGGCTAGCCTATAAAGTTGGTTATAGCGTTAAAAATTATAAGTGTTTGTGGAAAGTAGATAATTTGCCATTATATGTAATGGCGAGAATCAGGAGGCGCATTGAGAGTTACTGGTTAGTCAATTTTGGCTTTGGGCTCGTAGGCTGCAATGCATAAAGTTGAAATTGAGTGCAGAAAGCTAAAATTGAATTGATTGATAGGAAAAGTGCGAATACACGTCAAAACAAATTAACAGACATATTTTGATAAAGAAACAATGGCTCAATGGCTCAATTCAATTTGAAGGAGACTACTAAAAACACGAAAAATACAACAAAGCACAAACAACTGGCTAAAATACTGGAAGTCTTGAGCTTCCAAAAACGGCTATGAGAATAGTATCGAAACGTACTAACCGAAGGGCCCTGTACAAAATTCCCGAGGAGTTTACGCAATAGTTCGTTAGAAATTAAAGGCGGAAGGTTACGAGCGTGACAGCCTTAGTGTAGTCGTTAATGCTATTAAGCAATACCTAGCTTAGAAAAAGTGCAAACGCGTTATTGTTCGTGACAGAAAATCAAGTTCTTGCGGGTAAATCCCGACTACTAGTGCAACAACACGCTATCCAGCGGCTGAGGCAGTGAGCCATGACGCGAAATAAACATGACCATGTGGAAAACAAAGTCAAATTTTTTTCTTGTATATCATTAACGAGTAATCACATCTTTCACTCATAAATCAGCACTCGGGCATACCTAATGGCACTCGAAATCATATGATTACTTAAACAAATAGATAACTGCCAGAAGTGATAACATAGAAGATTTCGGCTTTTTTCCCACCTATTACGAGGAAGAGGTTAAAGTCATTGTGGCGGTAGTTTAGTAGAGCTCCCTTTATATTTGAGATTTAAGGTGGCTTCCTAGAGTATTACGAAGAAACCTCGCTTCAGAGGTTGAGTTACGAAAGGAAACCTAGTTTATTTATCAGCTAGCCATAAAATAAGGCTTCTGTTTTGGGTGTCAATTTTTAGACTTAGGTCGTTACCATGGCAACATTATCTCTAATGAGAGGCACAATTTTTGGCTAGATACCTTAATATCATTACATTCCCATGGTGAAATATCTTTATTCTTTGCCACGTTATGGAAATGACATTGCCTGACCTTTTGAAAAGGTAAAAACTTAGGGTCTTTCAGCCGGTTTCGCCAATATTCTCTAATTTGTCATTTTCCTAAATATATTTATTCAACAAGCTCAGACAGATTTTAACAAAAAATTGGCTGTTTGATATGAAATGTTTGTGGTCAGGACTGTGCCAATCTTCAAAAGAATTTAACGAAGGAAACGCGATAAATCTCACTCGAAAGTTCCATTTTTTTCAGTATCTCGAAACACTTCGTCAGGAAATAGCATTTCGCCCAGGTCGAACTTTTGAATCTGTCGCCACTTCGTAATCTTTCCCCTGGTGTTTACTTTTTTGTTGACCTCTTTTTCAGGCGTAGAGGGCAAATGGATATGATGGTATAGTTTCCTAAAACCCTAAAGTCTATCAGATAAAAACTGTATTGTTTTATAATGTTCTGATACACCTTTTTGAAATAACCATCGCGCGATGTCATCGAGCCGCCATGTTCGTTTTGCATGTGGACATTTTTAAAGCTAGCGCGTTCAAAAACCCTATGGAGCCTCTTTAAACTCATTCGAACTGTTCATGTTTGATCAATCAGTCAATCAGATATTGAGTGTATGTGTGGGGAGGTGAGTCAGTGATCCAGTCAGCCAATCAAACAAAGCATTTATTTTAATATAATTCTCTTTTGCAGCCTACCTGTGGATGCCCAACAATTCCACCACAGACAGCAAAACAAAGAACAACAAGAACAAGACCAACGACAAGAAGAACAAATGAGTTGAAAACAGTAGCTACCACCGGAAGTGGTACTCCATACACCGGAATTACGACTGTTCCGACTACAACTCCACCCCCAACCACACCTCCACCGTGTGAATGCGCTAATGGCGGGGCAGGAATTATTGATCGTGGAGGGAACTGTGATTGCCCGCCGTAAGTGTAGCAAAAAATATTCAGCTGCAATTTAACATTTTCTGTCTTTACAAGGTTAGTTAGCTTATTTTCTTGTTAGATCCCTTTGCATCACATTGCATTCAGCGATGTGGTCTAACTGTTAAGCGGATCTCAGCTTAGTATGGTAAAACCAAGAGCGAATCAAGGCGTAATCATTCCAATTCGAAACCAAAGAAACTTGCGAACAGTTTGAATCCCGGGAAATCAGTGGAGGGTGAAGAAGTCACGATAGATTCAGATTTTTCATCGGATGGTTTTAGAGATGGGAGTTCTCTTAACCAATCTCAGAGCGGGATAAAGCAAAATCAAAGGAATCCCGGTTAGTTTACATATACTTAGATTTTTGCTATAATACTAACATAAATTGTACTCCACCTCATATTAAGAGAGTGTCCAAATGGAAAGAATCCGGTCATTGTGAATAACCGTTACAAATGCCCAGTTCATCCACCGTGCGGTGAACACCCGAGCTGTGTTATGGGAAGGATAGGACCCGGATGCACTCAAGCAGATGTTCAACCTTGTTCAGGTGAACTAGCTAATAATACGTACTTATTGACTGAATGGAAGGGCCAGACGAAAAAATATTTCGCTCGAGGTCAAGACGTACAGAACGAGCGCAGTGTTGGTTCAATCTAATGAGGACGCAATCGACGGGCGCACGCGAGACTCCCACTAAACAGATTCTACAATAAAAGCTTTTGTCGTTTTTATCGTCAAAACAAGAAACTCGCAATTTATTAATCTTTGCAACAAAGCCATATGAGAGTCATATGAGCACCAGGACGATCGGCTTTTTCTGGACCGGTTCACGTCAACTCGTCCCGCCCTACACACATTAGGTTTCACAATGGTTTTCTATGGGTTGTGCGTGCGGGGCGGTACCGGTCATATGATAACATACAGTTGTGACATTGTATGGAGAAAAAGTGGTGTTATACAGTTGCTATTAGCTTCTGAGTTTCTTCAATGGATTCCTATCGCAGCAAGTAATGACTTAATGTTCTGTTGGTTAATCAACTGAGCGAACTGAAGGAAAAAAAATTATCACAGTGTACATGTGGTAAATTTGTGGACTACTTATATTTACTATTACCTATTTCAGCTGGGTGTTCTGGTAATGGAGTGGCAATTTCTACGCCAGACTGCGGATCACGGTGTGTATGTTGGGTCAGATGGACTGGACCTTGCTGCGAAACGAGGCTACCTTTGAGGAATTGGGGTGATCCTCATATTGAGACATTAGATGGTAAGCCGTGTTACTCTCCCTTCTAGTCCACCCTGACCCAGCAAAAGCTCTCCAGAGTTTCTGAGTGAAAGAGGGTTGATACACTTTACTTCAATTTACCTCTTTTTTTATTCCTGAGAGGAGAGTTCATGATTCCCTAACAAGAAGCTGGAGCCCGAGTAATCGTCTGGTTACTACAGATAGTAATCACAGATAATATCCTAGTTCATCTTTTTTTTACACTTTTTCTCGAATATGAATGACTATCATATCTATTTGTCCAATATAAGGATAAGTCCCTTGACGTTTGCGATCACAATCTAAAGAAGGGATCATCCTTCTTTAACTTGAACAATTTTGTATTCTTTTCGACAGGTATCGAGTTTGACTACTTCGGTATTGGTGAATTCTGGGGATGTAAAAGTCCCCTTAATGACTTCGGAATTCAATTCCGCTACTTTGCTTACCAGAGAGCGTCACTGACTGGGGGAGTGGCCATAAAAGCGGGGCTTAGCGTGTTGTCAATCATGACCGTCATAACCAGTGACTCCAGAGAATTTCCAAAACTAAGGTAGCCACTCGCTCTGACGAAGGGCTAACGCTCTAAACGTCAGCTTTTTAACTCTTTACAGTCGCCGATTTACAATTTCAACCTAGTTGATATTACCAAATGACCTCGTTACCCCCACCGACGCAGCACCACAATTTCTTTAGAAGCTTACCCCATTTAAGGTAGCCATAGCTTTCAATTTTAGTTCAAAGAGGTTTTGAATAACCTTGCCGCATAACCGCAGTTCACACATATGTTTCATATGTTTGTTGTTGTTTGATAGTACATATTGTCTAAATTCACGCGAATTCGATTGATTTAAAACTGATCAGATATTGCTGGGGGCAAATGATCAGAAAAGTAAGTATAAAGAATAACACATTTCAAATTCTAAAGAAACAGCTCACAGCATAATTCTTGAATTTTCATCTACTTAGTTCGTCTACCTAGCCTGCTAGGATTACAAACTTAAATAGATGATGTTACGATACTTAAAAACAGTTTGAGTGACTTTAAGAATTTCCTTCGGCATCGGACCGAAATGACAGAGAAAGAAAGAAAAACGGCTAAACAGGAAAATTAAAACCACAAAACTGGCGTGGCGAGGCGAAGGTTGACAGAGACTAGGAGCGACTAACTTGAAAAATTTAGTTCAAATCAGTTCTGACTACTTCCCCTGTTAACTTTTTGTCTACCTGTTAACATTTGGTGGTACTTCTTACCTCAGACTGGATGGGATATTAGTTAACATATCAGCTCAAGCTGGACAGAAAATGAAGATTAGCTATGGGACTGTCGTGATGGATATTCAAAGGAAGCTTAAGGCGGAATCCAATGAAACTGCAGTTGTACTTATATCCTTACAATATGAGTCAGGTAGGAGAATAAGAAATAAAGTTTTTCTTGTTGCTACACAAGCGCGACGGACAAAGTGGCGTACCAAAATAGCGAATTTGCAAAGAAACTTGTCTTTTTCTTTATAATCCTAAAATTATTCAGCTTACTTCAGTTTTGAACGCTTACTCAAAACCGTCTTCATTTAACGGCGGAGAGATCACAAAGTTCCTCTCCGAAGAGCAAAATGAAAATGTGGTTATCCTTGTTCAAGTTCATCGATGGAAGACGAATTTGATCATTTAGATGTATGGTACTCTTGCCGAGAGCGGTTATGTTAAGCTCCCGACCGAAACAAATTTTTCCTCAACGTTTCCCTACGAAAAGAGTTTGAGTCACCGATTACTACAGTAGTTTGATTGCTTTCCAATTCTACTCCGTCGCCACAGGCCAAAATTTATTTTTGCAAATGCGCTTTAAACGGACAGAGATTCAAAGTGTAATTTTGAGAGACTATATCAACTGCGCTGCGAACAAAAATACTCAGGCACACCAAATTATTTTTCAACACTTTACAAGGTGTGTTCAGTTAAATCGCGGGAGTAATATGAATCTTTTAAATTAAATCTTATGCAAACTATAGTGTGTCCTAGGGAGACTCTTGTTTTCAACCTTCATTTTCGCATCGAAATTCATTGAATTAAAACGGAAAGAATTCTTGAAATGCAGGTCTAAATCGGCTTACAGAAGCACATTTCAGCAATTTTTGTGCACCACTGAAGATACTCACCATTTTAACCAGCTGGTATCCGCTGGGCCACAAACTTAACATTAAATCACCACGCTCAACTTGGATGCATTGCGGGAGTGGTGGCCTTACTTAGTTAATAACAATAACAGTGGAGCGCAAAGCACACTGGTTGAGCGTGGTCTTTAACATAACTCAATGTGGTTGCAAAAGTATCGCTCATTTCAGAGCTTTACTATCATAATTCTGAAGATTTACAAAATTTCTTTTTCACCGTTAAGACTCGTTTCATGGCCTCCTTCGCCAATTAAAGGCAACGGGAGCTCTGTGTTGGGATCAAATGTTGCTTTCACTTGTACTCATCGATCTTCACGTTGGAAGGACTCTGCATAACAAATACTTAATAAAAAAAACACGGTTAAAAGGCGCCTATTCGATAAATTTCGTTAATCTTGTCACGAATCATAGACGCGATATGGATCAAATTAGTGGTGATGGACAAACGTTGCAATTCAGTTATTGTAGCCACTGTTTGAAATTTGAAAGGGCCCAAGCATAAAATGCATTGCGTTGTTAGATTTCTAATTCCAAGCTGGTTCAGTCACCGGCTTTTGTTTGAGCCGGATAATTCGTTCAATATCTTCTGAAAATTGAATCAAGGTATACAATTCCCTGGCCCTATTTTCGTCGAATTCCTTTCCGTCCATGTGCTGTTCATGCTGCAATGGACTACAACGTTCCCAAAACTCAACCCCTCCGACTGTAAAAAACCAACGAGAATAACTCTTACGTATATGAGAACGATTCTTTGCAGTAAAGCACTATTTGAGCAATAGTGAAAATCAGACCTGAAAAAAATTTCAGGCCTGTACGGGATTCGATCCACTGACCTCTGCGATACTAGTGCAGCGCTCTACCAATTGAGCTAACAAGCCAACTGGGAGCAGGCCATCAAATTAATTCGATATAAACCCGTAGATGATAAATCAAACAACAACAAACATATGAAACATATGTGTGAACTGCGGTTATGAGACGTATATGAGAACGATCCTTCGCAGTAAAGCACTATTTGAGCAATAGTGAAAATCAGACCTGAAAAAAATTTCAGGCCTGTACGGGATTCGAACCACTGACCTCTGCGATACTAGTGCAGCGCTCTACCAATTGAGCTAACAAGCCAACTGGGAGCAGGCCATCAAATTAATTCGATATAAACCCGTAGATGATAAATCAAACAACAACAAACATATGAAACATATGTGTGAATTTGATGGCCTGCTCCCAGTTGGCTTGTTAGCTCAATTGGTAGAGCGCTGCACTAGTATCGCAGAGGTCAGTGGTTCGAATCCCGTACAGGCCTGAAATTTTTTTCAGGTCTGATTTTCACTATTGCTCAAATAGTGCTTTACTGCGAAGGATCGTTCTCATATACGTCTCATAACCGCAGTTCACACATATGTTTCATATGTTTGTTGTTGTTTGATTTATCATCTACGGGTTTATATCGAATTAATTTGATGGCCTGCTCCCAGTTGGCTTGTTAGCTCAATTGGTAGAGCGCTGCACTAGTATCGCAGAGGTCAGTGGTTCGAATCCCGTACAGGCCTGAAATTTTTTTCAGGTCTGATTTTCACTATTGCTCAAATAGTGCTTTACTGCGAAGGATCGTTCTCATATACGTCTCATAACCGCAGTTCACACATATGTTTCATATGTTTGTTGTTGTTTGATTTATCATCTACGGGTTTATATCGAATTAATTTGATGGCCTGCTCCCAGTTGGCTTGTTAGCTCAATTGGTAGAGCGCTGCACTAGTATCGCAGAGGTCAGTGGTTCGAATCCCGTACAGGCCTGAAATTTTTTTCAGGTCTGATTTTCACTATTGCTCAAATAGTGCTTTACTGCGAAGGATCGTTCTCATATACGTCTCATAACCGCAGTTCACACATATGTTTCATATGTTTGTTGTTGTTTGATTTATCATCTACGGGTTTATATCGAATTAATTTGATGGCCTGCTCCCAGTTGGCTTGTTAGCTCAATTGGTAGAGCGTTGCACTAGTATCGCAGAGGTCAGTGGTTCGAATCCCGTACAGGCCTGAAATTTTTTTCAGGTCTGATTTTCACTATTGCTCAAATAGTGCTTTACTGCGAAGGATCGTTCTCATATACGTCTCATAACCGCAGTTCACACATATGTTTCATATGTTTGTTGTTGTTTGATTTATCATCTACGGGTTTATATCGAATTAATTTGATGGCCTGCTCCCAGTTGGCTTGTTAGCTCAATTGGTAGAGCGCTGCACTAGTATCGCAGAGGTCAGTGGTTCGAATCCCGTACAGGCCTGAAATTTTTTTCAGGTCTGATTTTCACTATTGCTCAAATAGTGCTTTACTGCGAAGGATCGTTCTCATATACGTCTCATAACCGCAGTTCACACATATGTTTCATATGTTTGTTGTTGTTTGATTTATCATCTACGGGTTTATATCGAATTAATTTGATGGCCTGCTCCCAGTTGGCTTGTTAGCTCAATTGGTAGAGCGCTGCACTAGTATCGCAGAGGTCAGTGGTTCGAATCCCGTACAGGCCTGAAATTTTTTTCAGGTCTGATTTTCACTATTGCTCAAATAGTGCTTTACTGCGAAGGATCGTTCTCATATACGTCTCATAACCGCAGTTCACACATATGTTTCATATGTTTGTTGTTGTTTGATTTATCATCTACGGGTTTATATCGAATTAATTTGATGGCCTGCTCCCAGTTGGCTTGTTAGCTCAATTGGTAGAGCGCTGCACTAGTATCGCAGAGGTCAGTGGTTCGAATCCCGTACAGGCCTGAAATTTTTTTCAGGTCTGATTTTCACTATTGCTCAAATAGTGCTTTACTGCGAAGGATCGTTCTCATATACGTCTCATAACCGCAGTTCACACATATGTTTCATATGTTTGTTGTTGTTTGATTTATCATCTACGGGTTTATATCGAATTAATTTGATGGCCTGCTCCCAGTTGGCTTGTTAGCTCAATTGGTAGAGCGCTGCACTAGTATCGCAGAGGTCAGTGGTTCGAATCCCGTACAGGCCTGAAATTTTTTTCAGGTCTGATTTTCACTATTGCTCAAATAGTGCTTTACTGCGAAGGATCGTTCTCATATACGTCTCATAACCGCAGTTCACACATATGTTTCATATGTTTGTTGTTGTTTGATTTATCATCTACGGGTTTATATCGAATTAATTTGATGGCCTGCTCCCAGTTGGCTTGTTAGCTCAATTGGTAGAGCGCTGCACTAGTATCGCAGAGGTCAGTGGTTCGAATCCCGTACAGGCCTGAAATTTTTTTCAGGTCTGATTTTCACTATTGCTCAAATAGTGCTTTACTGCGAAGGATCGTTCTCATATACGTCTCATAACCGCAGTTCACACATATGTTTCATATGTTTGTTGTTGTTTGATTTATCATCTACGGGTTTATATCGAATTAATTTGATGGCCTGCTCCCAGTTGGCTTGTTAGCTCAATTGGTAGAGCGCTGCACTAGTATCGCAGAGGTCAGTGGTTCGAATCCCGTACAGGCCTGAAATTTTTTTCAGGTCTGATTTTCACTATTGCTCAAATAGTGCTTTACTGCGAAGGATCGTTCTCATATACGTCTCATAACCGCAGTTCACACATATGTTTCATATGTTTGTTGTTGTTTGATTTATCATCTACGGGTTTATATCGAATTAATTTGATGGCCTGCTCCCAGTTGGCTTGTTAGCTCAATTGGTAGAGCGCTGCACTAGTATCGCAGAGGTCAGTGGTTCGAATCCCGTACAGGCCTGAAATTTTTTTCAGGTCTGATTTTCACTATTGCTCAAATAGTGCTTTACTGCGAAGGATCGTTCTCATATACGTCTCATAACCGCAGTTCACACATATGTTTCATATGTTTGTTGTTGTTTGATTTATCATCTACGGGTTTATATCGAATTAATTTGATGGCCTGCTCCCAGTTGGCTTGTTAGCTCAATTGGTAGAGCGCTGCACTAGTATCGCAGAGGTCAGTGGTTCGAATCCCGTACAGGCCTGAAATTTTTTTCAGGTCTGATTTTCACTATTGCTCAAATAGTGCTTTACTGCGAAGGATCGTTCTCATATACGTCTCATAACCGCAGTTCACACATATGTTTCATATGTTTGTTGTTGTTTGATTTATCATCTACGGGTTTATATCGAATTAATTTGATGGCCTGCTCCCAGTTGGCTTGTTAGCTCAATTGGTAGAGCGCTGCACTAGTATCGCAGAGGTCAGTGGTTCGAATCCCGTACAGGCCTGAAATTTTTTTCAGGTCTGATTTTCACTATTGCTCAAATAGTGCTTTACTGCGAAGGATCGTTCTCATATACGTCTCATAACCGCAGTTCACACATATGTTTCATATGTTTGTTGTTGTTTGATTTATCATCTACGGGTTTATATCGAATTAATTTGATGGCCTGCTCCCAGTTGGCTTGTTAGCTCAATTGGTAGAGCGCTGCACTAGTATCGCAGAGGTCAGTGGTTCGAGTCCCGTACAGGCCTGAAATTTTTTTCAGGTCTGATTTTCACTATTGCTCAAATAGTGCTTTACTGCGAAGGATCGTTCTCATATACGTCTCATAACCGCAGTTCACACATATGTTTCATATGTTTGTTGTTGTTTGATTTATCATCTACGGGTTTATATCGAATTAATTTGATGGCCTGCTCCCAGTTGGCTTGTTAGCTCAATTGGTAGAGCGCTGCACTAGTATCGCAGAGGTCAGTGGTTCGAATCCCGTACAGGCCTGAAATTTTTTTCAGGTCTGATTTTCACTATTGCTCAAATAGTGCTTTACTGCGAAGGATCGTTCTCATATACGTCTCATAACCGCAGTTCACACATATGTTTCATATGTTTGTTGTTGTTTGATTTATCATCTACGGGTTTATATCGAATTAATTTGATGGCCTGCTCCCAGTTGGCTTGTTAGCTCAATTGGTAGAGCGCTGCACTAGTATCGCAGAGGTCAGTGGTTCGAGTCCCGTACAGGCCTGAAATTTTTTTCAGGTCTGAT